TCTCTCTCTCTCTCTCTCTCTCTCTCTCTCTCTCTCTCTCTCTCCTCGATTCCTCTCTGGTTACAACTCATATCAACTGCTCCCCACTGCATGCAGACAGAAACCAACTGATTCTCATATTTTCTACTAATAAATTCCACCTACCTCCTGTTTCATAATCTGCTTTTTCTTGGTACAAGGACCATGTGCCAACTAGAATTCTCAACTAGCTGGGAGCATTGTACAATATGGGCAAATGTGTCTACCACACAAGTCTTGAAATTCAAGTTTTATATATCTGTGACTGCTGGTAATCACCATGACTTTGTTTTACCAGTGGAGATAAGATTCTGTACAGGTTTTAAAAAGAGAAAACACTGAGAGCTGGGCATTGTGGCACATGCTTGTTATCCTAGAACTAGGAAGGACAAGAGGAAGATTTGAGGCCAACATGGGTAACACAGAGTTCCAGGCCTTCCTAGGCTACAGGGTGAAACTGCCTCAAAAACCAAAACAAGCTAGGTGTGGTGATACACACCTGTAATCCTAGCACTTGGTAGGTGAAGACAAGAGGATCAGGAATCCAAGGTCATCTGCAGCTACGCAGCCAGTTGGAGGTCAGCCTGGGCTTAAAAAAAAGCAAGCCAGGAGTGGTGGTGTATACCTTTGATCCCAGCAGGCAGAGGCAGGCAGATCTCTATGAGATTGAGGCCAGCCTAGTCTATACAGCCAATGCCAGGCTAGTTGGTGCTACAGCCAGACCCTGTCTCAAAAAGACAAAACAAAACAAAACAAAACACCCCAAAGTAATTCTCTCGAAAAGCCCTGCCCTCACACTTGTCAGTTACTTGGGCCTCATGGGTGTTCCTAGAGACAACCTGTCTTACCTGGTACTTTGGAAGCTGCTCCTTAGCATGTTGTAAAGATCCTCCAGAACTATGGCAAGAGATGCTGCTGCTGCTGCTGCTCCTGCTGCTGCTGCTGCTGCTGCTGCTCCTGCTGCTGCTACTGCTGCTGCTGCTGCTGCTGCTGCTGACATTGCTGCTTCCCTGACAGCACCTGGCTGACATTTTAACAGGGACATCCTCTGCTTTCTGGGTTAAGACAGGCAGGCAAGGTAAAGGATCATCAAATGCATCAGGTTTCATCAAATGCATCAGGTGTCATCAACATGCTCTTGATTGGGGATTAGCAAAACTCCCTGGTGCCTGAATTACATTAAAAAACAGAAGTTTAAAAAAAATTTCTTCATAATGACAAAAATATGGTTCCTGGGAGTCTACAATATTTGGGAAGGAAGCCTGCTGAAGAAGAGTACTAAGCAGAAATAGTGGGCTAGGTGGATGGATAGACAGATGATTGACAGATAGACAGAAAGAGAGATACAGATGGTAAATAGCTTTTTATTTTTTATTTGGGGGGGGTCCTTTTTTCAGATAGGGTCTCCCTGTAGCCATAGCTGGACTGGAACTCACTATGGACACCAGGCTGGCCTTGATCTCACAGGAATCTACCCTCCTTTGCCTCCCAAGTGCTGGGATTTAAGGCATGCACCACCATGCCTGGTGATAGCTTTTATAAAAAAATATATTTTGTTATTTTTATTTATGCTTATGAGTGCATTGCCTGCATGTATGTAAGTGCACCCATGTTATACACAATGCCCACGGAGGTCAGCAGAGGGCATCAGATTCCCCTGGAACTAGAGTTACAAATGGTTGTTAGTTGCCATATGGGTGCTGGGAATGAAACCCCGGTCCTCTGCAAGACAGCCAGTACTCTTAACCACTGAGCCATGTCTCCAGCCCAGACAGATAAATAAAAGCTGTTAGTTTTCACATTTAAATTCATGCTATAAAATCGTAAACAAGAACTGGTTCCTGTTTAGGTGCTTTAGAAGATTTTAGTACTATGTAGTCATAATCTAGGAAACTAATGAGGTGAAAAATGACAATTAAAATTTAAATTTTTACCAAGCAAATAGAACTAAGAAAATAAAGTTATTAATCGAGACAGGCAGGGCTTGTGTTTTTAATACTTCTCCTAGCACTCCTTTAAATACGATAGGAAAGAAAACCACGAGACTGGAATCCTGAACCATGAAACAGGAGCTACTGTGAACTTCAGAGCATGTGACGGGAATATGATCTTTAAAGGTTAGAGGTAACAGAAGATTGTTTACTATATATTTGCTGAAGTGTTCAATGCTACTTTTTATGACAGTGACATAAAGGTATAAAGATACCCTCATTCACAAGAATAGGACATGCCTATAGAAGCACCCTGTAGCCTTCCTGAGAAACGGTTTCCACCCTGCGTTTCCCTTCCTTATTTAGCTTTTGCTTCAAAAACTATGAATGCAACAGCAAGCTTATCTAATCTTCAATGTGACCGTCACACTGATGATCTAATGCACATGCTTGCAGTCATGTGCTGATTCAAATCATGATGCTTTGTGCTTATCAAGAGGATGGGATTTCTGAAGAGTGGGTGAAGAGGAAAAAAACATCAGGAAAATCAAAATGTGCAGGTCCACAGCAGTCACTCCAGCAATGATGGAAGTCCAAGTTGTACTGGGTTAATCCTGAGCATCCAGCATGCCCTCAACACCCTCTTCAGCTCCAGCTGTTACTTAATACCACTTAAGCCAGAAACCTAGTCCCTCAGAGGGCTGAAAGTGGCTGACAGGAAGTCCCACCTGCTAAGAGGCCAACAGACCCTCTGGCTCAAGTACAGCATATCAAAGTCTCTAACTGGAGACAGCACTTGGTACAGTGAGCAGCATACGGACTGGATTCTTTTCCAGTCTTTAGCAAGTTACAAAGTCCCCGAACCTAAGCTGCTTTTTTTAATTAAATGAGTTCTTCTAAGAAAGCCTATGTCCCAGATTCTAAAGTTATCACTGCTCAGATACACTGACAACACCAGTTCCTTGTGAAAACCATTTCATTTCTACTTTTCACCACCATCATTAGCTTGAGTGACAGGATGAGGGTGCTCAACTGAACCATCTGAAGCATTCAGGAAACAGACGGATAGAGCCATCTTCTGTCTAGCAAATAAAGGGTCAAGGGCTGGCTCACCTAAGCCTGTGATCCCAATCTACCATTTAAGCATGTAAACCACCTGAGAAATTTCTCAGCACTCTCCACCCACCTGACAAGCCCAGCCACTACTGTAATGATTAGCTGCCTGGCAAAATGCCAGTGTGAGGGCTGTGGAGTCCACCCTGCTCAGCTGCCTCCAACCAAACATTTCCTTCCTGCAAAAATGATTCTTATCAGAAGCTGGAAAACAGGGGCCAGCGAGATGGCTCAGTAGGTAAAGATGCTTGCTGCACAAAGCCTGGTGACTGAGTTCCATCTCTGGAACCATGCTGATGAAAGGACTGAGCAACTCTACAAAGTTGTTGTCTGACCACCACATGTATGCCGTGGCGCATACAACACCCAGCCCCATATACACACAATAATAACAACAAAAAAATTTTAAAGTGAAAAAGAGCTGCTTGGCCCTGAAGAGACAAAGGCTATGTTATAACTGTTCATTACTTAACCATACATTCTACAGATTGCCAGAATTTGGTCAGTATGGGGAGCAACACGGAAAGAGTATAAATACAAATGGACTTCATGCAAATTGTAAGCATCAGAACAAATACTGAAATGAAAGGTCTGGTGGTGGTGAAAGGTTAGAGGTACCCTGGGCATATCCAAAAAGACCCAGGGAGGACCAGACCCTTTTCACATTATTTTTACCTTTCCTGATCTGGTTCAAAGTCTTTTCCATGTTTTCCCTCTACCCATCGCTCTTAACTCCCACTTCCATCCTCACCACTCCCCTCCTTACAAAACGGGGGGGGGGGGGGGTTCTTACTATATTCGATGTGTATACTTAGAATCAAAATCACCATCAAATGTACCTTTCCCAATGCCCATGGTCCACTGTTGGCCTGCTGTGACTGCCTGTTAACAGTGTCACCTGTGTTCACAGGCATGCACATACCTATTGGGGCGAGGGCTTTGCTTATGTTTCTTCTAAATCATTGGTGGCACTGGGCAATACAGTTCAGTGTGGTACCTGACTCAAGAGGTGCTTTAAGGTAAATCAGCATTTCATACCTGAGCTGCCACCTCTTCCATCTTTTGAACAGCTCTGGAATCAAACATGACTTGTCTGCCTCTCCTCTCACAGTCCTGGTAAACAATCAGGCGAATGTCACTCAGGTCAAATTCCGAACATGACCAACTGTAGATTCAAATGAGAGAAAGAAGTTAGAGTACCTGCAATGCTTAGGGTGATCATGGGCAAATACATTTTCCAGCTAAGTGCCTGCGTGCATGTCAGAAAGTGGCCACGCAAATATTGCCTATTCTCATGTCAGAGGACGGAAGACTGCACTAAATAATAAATCACCAGAGAGAAAGCTTTGCCTTCCAAAGCCAGTTTGGGCACGGGTGGCAGCCAGAAACTGCAAGGACACACAGGGAGGGCTAAATTTGGGTGTCTGGGTTCTGGGGAGAGCACCAGAGTTAAAGGAGTGCTAAACTTCTGTATGACCAGCAATGGGAACCCAGCCACCCCTCTTAGTTCAAACTGGCAGGAGTCACATATCCTAAGGGTTATTACTTTCTCCTAGGACCTCTGGCTCTGATATGGAAGCTTTGAAAACCAAGTACATCATTGTATGCATCTGAACTGCTAATGACAATGGTTAGCAACAAAGGAAGCAGTTTGTTCCCAAGCAAATCAAAAACTATTGTGGGAAAGAAAATGTAGGTTTATATTCAAGTAATAAATTATATGAGAGAGGCAACCACAGCAAAAGGAACTATTTAGAGTGTGTTCTGGGTACATTGTTATTGATTCATTCAACACTTTTGAGTTTGTACTGTCTTCCAGGCTATGTCGTGTGTGTTAGAGAACAGATAATTAATCAAATTGACTGGGTCCCTGCCCTCATGGAGTTCAAGTGGGGAATATTAAGCTAAAAGTTACTTATAAATTATAACTGTAAACTGTTGAAACTTCAATCAACAGTCTGATGGAGGACTGTTGGAGTTCTAGACCAGCCTGTGTTAACATAGCAAGGCTTTGTCTAAAAAAAAAGGAAAGATTTATGCCAGTTGTGGTGCCCTCTGGTAGGATATGCTGAAGCGGCAGAAGGAGGAAGATCACCAGTTCGAGCCAGCTAGGCTACACCTTCTCTTGCACTTTAAAAGAATAATTAAACCCCCTACCGAGAGAGAGAGAGAGAGAGAGAGAGAGAGAGAGAGAGAGGAGAGAGATATTTTAGAGGCAGGGAAGTTGCTGAGGCCTTAAAACATTTGAATGCAGAGCTGAAGAAACAGTTAACGTGAATAAAGACCACAGAGCAGTAAGAGTGCAGCACACTTTTACACACAGGAACTGGAGAGAGGAAAAGCCTGAGAGCTGCCTGGGAGGTGAGCTGAAGGCAGACCAGGCAAGATGAGCTCTGAACACAGACGGACAGCTTGGGAGGCAGATGGTTGATAAGAGATCAGACAGTCTGAGGGCCTTAAGGAAAGCAGAGGTGAGACAGATGAAGTCTGGAACTCGGAAGGCCAGCCCTCACAGTGCCTGCTGCAGGCTGTAGGGACAAGCAACAAAGGCGGGCAAGAGACAGATCATGACAGATTCTAGAAGACGTGCCTGAGGCAGAAGGGGTGCCAACCGCTTAGGCAGACATAGCTACAGGACACAGGCAGGACTCTTAAAGCACAGGTGAGACAAATGGGCAGGTGGACAGAGGAGTAATGGATGAAAACTGTCAAAGTAGCGGACTGTATAACAGAAGTAGAGTCAGACACAGCTGGATTCAAATCCCAAAGTTCGCTCCCTCCATTTTGCCATGAAATATAGGAATGCTGACCTCACAAGCTTCTATGTCGATTAAATAACATATGCAAAGTACTTCACCCAAAACTGAAACACAGAAGTGCTACAAAATGGTAATCATTACCTCGGAAGACGGAGGAGGCTACACAGTTTGTGAGAAATCAACAGTGTCTGGTACTAAGGCACAAGCTGTGCATTTTGGGCCCTTCCCTTTTCAGTCACTGACAACTAATACTGAGCATGTTTTTTAGAGTAGCAGATTTGTTCTTTTTGATCCCAGCAATAAAAAATAGAAAGTTCTGGTTGTACCTTCATTCAATTAACTTGTGTTCTAAGTCATGTCCAGAATCCTTTCCCCTCTAATTTTAATAACCCTGTGACAAATTTATTTTGGAAACTGTTTTTCCTCTACTGTTGGTCCAGAAGCTGTCCTTGTTCCAGGTCTGACCAAGGAGATAGGCCACAGGACCCCAAGCTGGGCAGGTGGGAGCCGGCCCTGTTACTTAGGTGCAGAGCCCACATGGTAGGCCCGGAGTTGTGGTAGCTAGTGAGCACCATGTGCTAAGTGGTGGAATGAAGTCGACATGGAGGAAAGCCAGGAGCACTGGACTGGCACTGGGGAGCAGCTGTTTCTGTGAAGCACTATTCCTGGAGTTCATTTTCTGCCAAAACCAAAGTAGTCTGATGAATACAACCCAAGCCACCAAATTTTAAAATTATATAAGCCGTTAAAACTCTCTCTGAAATGATGTGTTAAAGCACCAAACACAGGCTGAAGCGCAACTCAGTAGCAGGGTACTTGGCTATGCAAATGCCCTGTGTTCCATCCCCAGCACTGCAAAACAAATGAGCAGTACACAGGGTAAAGTTATTACAAGTGAAAAAAAATCAAAAAAGATTTAATCATCTTTCTAAAAATCATCTTATAGTATCTTCTGAAGTTTGTATTTGTCCCATAATTACATTTTGCTGAAGAAACTTTACAATTACAAAGCAAGTTGTTCAATCCTTGAGGAATATCAGTTTTAAATTTCAGTTAAGTCAAAGACAGTATCTCTAGAAGATTCAATAATGACCAGAACATTCTGATAATTATGTTATACTCTTTTTCAATTAAGAAAAATAGGAGATGGTGTGGTGGTATACAACTATAATCTTAGCACTTGAGAGGCAGGAGGATTACAAGTTTGCGGCCAGACTAGGCCCCATCTTGATTTCTAGGTCTGGCTGGACTGCTTCAAAATGAGGGGGAAGGGGGTAATAGACGAGGAAGGGAAAAGTTTGTATGTATGTAAGAATGTCCAACACTTTTTACCCAAATACCTTAAATGTATTTCATAAAAATGAGAAAACCTCTATTCTTTTATCTGAATCATATTTTGGTTTAACATACAATCGTCATTTAGACACTTCCTCTCTGGAATATCACTAGAGGAAACAACAGTTGAGTAGTTTGGTAGAAGAAAGAGAATAATAACAAGAAAAAGGGATGTTCTAGAATGAGATGGGCCTGGGGATCCAATCTGAGCTCTGCCTCCTCCCAATCTTGGGAAAGTCTCCTGAGCAGCACTCGTAGGGAGAGATAATTCAGGCAAGGACATAATCACTACTGGCTTCTTTCCCTAACATTCCCAATACATAGAACTTGAGTTAATAGTAACCACTTGCCAAATATATTCTCATTCACATTCACTGGCTACATCCAACACTCATTATAGACTTCCTATGAGAGCCAAGTGACATTCCCAGTCCTTGACTGGGGGCAATGCTGTAAGATTCAAAGGGGCATGAGAAATAAGCCCTGAGGGGTTGGGGACATGTGTCAGTGGGTAAAGTGCTCGCCACACAAGCATGAGGACTGAAGTTTAGATTCCCCGCACCAATATACATGCCAGGGAGGTACAGTGGCCTGCCTGGAATCCCAGTGCTCAAGAGGTAGAAACGGGATCCCCAGAGCAACAGACTAGCTGAGTCAGTGAGCTCTGGGTTCAAGTGAGGGACCCTGCCTCAATACTTACAGTAGAAAGCAATACAAGAAGGCACTTGATGTCACACAATGGCACCACACATGTGTGCACACATACACATATATGAACACAGATACACGCCCCCCCACTCCAGCCCTTGGCTTTTGTCTTAAAACATCCAAACATTTCAGAGAAAAACATTCTAATCAGAACTAACTCATTCTTTACTTGATCAAGAATAAGGAAGAATACAGCATCTAGCATCAGGAGACAATATATTACTTACTGTGTGACTTCTGGCACCAAGACTTATTTCTATAACTACACATCAAGAGTATAACACATGTAAACAAAGCCCAAATTACTCCCCTGAATGGTAACAAGTAATAACTCAAAGGATTTGGGGTACAGACATCTCTTTAAAGTATATATGTACCTATAACTCCAGACACTGGGGAGGCTGAGGCAGAAAAATTCAAGGCCAGCATGGGCTATAGAATAAGGCTCTCTATCTCAAAAATCAATAAAAATGAAAGTCACACCAAATAAAGATATAACCATGCGTTATGATTAAAACCATACGTGATACCTAGAATTGTGCCTCCCCAAAAGATATGTTAGAGTCCTTACCAGGCTGTCCTTGAGCTCACAGAGATACACCTGCTTCTGACTCCCAAGTGCTAGGATTAAAGATGAATGCTACCACCCAGCTCCCATCTCATTTTTTGAGACAGTCTCTTGCTGAATCTGGACCTCATCAACTCAGCAATACTAGCCAACCAATGAGCTTCAGGGATGCTGCTACTGCTGCTTCCCTAGCAATTGGATTGATATCAGGTGCTCACCAGCATGCCTGACCTTTTACATGAGTGCTGGAAGATCCGAACCAGATCCTCGGGCCTGCATGGCAGGCACTTTACTAAGCCCCAGCTCCTCCAATCAGCAGAACTTTCAAAAGCTACTAAAAGATTACGGAGAAAAATCACAAGCCTTACTGAGGTAGGAGGGACACTGAATGAACAGGTCACCCCATGCAATCAACATTATACCTCTAAATAATTTTCTAGATTTTGGTTTTGGTATCATGAATAGTTTCTTCCCTTTTCCCTCTTTAAAATTCCACATCATCTGTAAATACAGTCCAATTTTCCTAAAACAGTTTAAGTTAGCATCAATCACTCTTTTGTGATATGCACATGTTAGAAATTACCTGACGTTGCACTAGAGGTGTAGCTAAGTGGTAAGGGACCTGTCTGTTCAATCCCTGATATCACAAACAAACATTACCTGCATTTTAAAAAGACAAGCAGAAGGGGCTGGAGAGATGGCTTGGCAGTTAAAAGCAATGCCTGTTCTTGCAGAGGACCTTGATTCAGTTCCCAGTATCTACATGGCAGCTACAACTGTCCATAACTCCAATTC